GGTTGCTGAATTGATTCAGGCCGATGTGTACTTCCCACTATGGATGCAAATTATTTAATTATTCCATGGATTCATGGCTTTAAGAGAGCCCTCGGGATGATTGACAACAGGTCAAAAGCCAATAATGAAATCCATTATATCATTTAATAAAATTATCAAAAAAAATTAGTGGCAGGGGGGGAAATATAGCAATTCTAGAACCAATGAGAATTAAATCCACAGATTTAAATTACCATATATATTTGACTATAAGTCAACTTCATATATAAGTTGAGGACACATTTTGGGGCCAACATTGTGGATTTTGATATGCCCCATGGATAAGTTGAGGGTACTCTCTATCCCTTGCCTCAGTGGCTGTTAAAATATCTCTGACTATGAAGGAAGAAGACTGAGTGTGAAGGAACACAGATGGAGAGGCAAAAGCTTTTTCTTTCCTGCTCTTGCTGTGTCCCTGCCTTCCCTCAGCAGCTGCTCCTTTAAGAGCCCTGGCTATGGGGGAAAGGCTGGAGGAGGAGGGACATTTAAACATGGAGAGGCAAAACTAGATTCAACAACGAGGTCACCATAACTGAAAAGGACCTGCAGTATGCAAGCCTTCTGAGGATGAATCTGCTGACTTCCCTCCACTTTTCAGACTTACCATGAAACAAACAATGTGGTGTCCAAAGATTCCCTCCCAGCAGTGTTTGCTTATTGGAATGATATTGAAATCATGGTACTAACATAGCCATGTTACTTATAGATTCAATAAAAGAAGCAGCAGACACAATATAGGGACGTTATCACACGGGGGCAAATCTGCTGGTTAATCCACACAAATCCCAAACAGAAATTGGATTTGTGCCTCGCGTTTTCACACGACTGGACAGAAAGTGGACAGAAACTTTGACTGAGATCTTTTGAAATTCGGTTGTTTGGAGGAAATTCAAATGCGAAATTAAGGTAATTTCGCATTTACCGTAATGTGAAAAGCAAATGTAAATTTGGGAGCATTTCCCTGCTTTTCCCATTGTTCCAGCGAGCATTCCTCTATTTGCGCATGTGCAAGAAGCTCATTTCTAGTACATTTACGGGCTTTTCTCACTTGTGTGTGAACGTTAAATGCGCTTACTGTAAATTTGCAATTAAGATAATTACGTGTGAAAGCCATTTGCGGAATCAAGGTTTATTTTCCGTTTATTTTCGGAATGCCTCATTTCCACTTTATTATCACTTTCTGGCCCATGTGTGATAATGTCCTAAGAAGGAATAGTTTGCAAGTCCTTTTTCTTCTTCTTGCATTCTTTATAATTATAAACTACACTTGAAAATGAACATAGGTTTTGAAGTTCATCTCCATTTGCAGTGTCAAGATATTTTTGGGTGGGGGGGAGTTGTGACAGAGAGCTGCGAAAGTTTATTTTAAAGCAAAATGCAGACTACAGTACACAGGGAAAGAACAATTTTGATTATGCAAAGTGCCTTTCTCTTCCCTCCCAAAACCACCAACTTTTGCTCTTAGTAGAAAACAAAGAGATAGCTGGAACAATAAATAGACAAAGAGTCTGTTCCAAACTTAGACTGAGTGATACATTTTAGAAGAAAAGCATCTAATTATCCTTCTCTTCCTTGACACTTTCCTTCCATGAGCTTTTAATAGTCACCTTGCTGAGACAAAAGAACTCTCCATTTTTTTACATCAGTTTAATGTCTCTAGGAGGAGAAAAAGCATCCTATCATTTCAGTAAGCAGTCAAGTTGTCTAAAAACAACAACAACAATGAAGTAATAAGGTGGTACCAATTCAGAGCTTGAAAATAATGGCATAAGAGTAATGCTGTTTACTTGCAACATGCTCTCTCTCTCTCCCCCCCCCCTATTTTTTAATATCCAAATGAAATTCACATTAGAAGTTCTAAGAATTAGTTTGGCAGAATGAATAATGTTTGCTTGTGCAAAATGTAATTTTGGGGGAGATGGGGAAGGCTATTTTTAATGATGTTGGGTTTTATATATTTTGTAATATATAAAATATTATATTATAGAATATAAACATAGTGGCCAGAATTCTGTATGAGCTAATTAGCTATGTAACCATCATAGTTATGTAGCTAGTTAGCATCTCCTGGCCAGACCCTCATCCAATCCCCACTTATTAGGGAGCAGCTGCTGCAAGTGACAGGGATCTGTGCCCTTGTCAATCAGGTAGCAGTTAATTGACATTCCCACACTCTCCAGGGAGTGATCTCTGGTGCAACAGTGAGAAGCAGAGCCCTAGCTGCAATTCCTCCTCACCGTGGAGATTGCTTTTTGGAGGGAGTGGAAACATCAGTCAGCTGCTTCCCAATAAACAAGGGAAAAGATCCTTGTTTTCTGTAGCAGCTGCTGCCTGGTAAGGGGGGAACTGGGGTACTTTCACAGTCCTTAAGTATTTCCTAAATTAATGAATACATAGATGTTGTGAATACAAACCAGTCATGAACGCATAACTCTAGGTTACACATTCAACACTGCTTTGGTGAATTTCAGTCATAATATATCTAGATCAGAGATTCCCAATCTGGGTATCCATACCCCCATGGGGTGCAAGATGTGCAACAAAGAGTAGTTTGTATTGATGAGTCATTACTCTTTTTTTCTGAATAAATTAGAATCTATCTGCTCAATTTAGATTTGCATTTTTCCATTTGTTCACCTGCAGTATTGTTTGTGGTTCAAACTAGACCCCTAGCGTGAGGGTGAGGC